TTAGAGATGGCTTTGAAACCTTTTCTAGCCTGATGAGCAACACCAACTCTTTTTCTGAGGTCCTCGGAGATCTCAATTGTTTGTGCCATGATACACTTCCACAAACATGATAAAACTTTGATAGATCCCTGTTTTTTAAATAAAACAGGGCACACACTGACACCTGATAGTCATCTTTAGAGTCAAGACAGGAAAAACATCAGTCTTGACAATTTCTTATTTTAAAGAAGCTTAACGATGATATGACCACGGAGACATCACTAGGATTCACATGAAATGAAAGGGAAAAAAGCTGCCTTCACAATTTTAGAGATCTGCTACACCACAAAAAACTGTGACCAAACTTACCGTTTAGTCCTTTTGACCTCTTTCTGGTGCTCAGTTAGCACTCTCTCCTTTGTCTCAGGGGGAATAAAAACAAAATCCACTGATGCCGCCTCCTCAATAGCTTCTCGCTTCAAGGGCTTGGGTGATCCAAAATCCAGCTTTACCTAAAGAGGCAACAGGTGAATTGAGGGACCTGGTTGCTAATTAAGAGCCACCATTGATATTTTCAAGTTTTGATGCATTTTCACATGACTTACAGACACCGGCTTTGCTGCGGTTGCAGAGCCTCTTTCTTTAAGCTCTTCTGCCCTCGCCAGAAGAGAGTCCCTCTTTCCCACAGAGATCATCTTTACCCTGCTGATCTGTGGGTCCAGCTGAGAACTCTCACCCTGATTAGAGAACACAACACGTTTAGAACTCGCTTAGGAACGAAAGAAAAACCAACATGTTTGACTGAGCTAAATTTACTGTGTTTACAGTTCTGTGTTCTTTACATATTACATCACAGTAGGGACAATCATTTGCGCTGAACGAAACACTGAACGTACCGTATACTGTCCACTGCAATCATCTGGTGCATCAACGGCTTCAAAACCAGGTAAAATCAGTGGAGTCTTTTGCTTAGCCTGACTTAAAACAGACCTGGGGGGGTGGCATATATATATGATATAAATGAATTAAGACAAGCATACTTGCTGAATTAAAGATCTGAAAAATGTGCCTATAATACATTTTACACAAAAATTCCCAACAATGGCATGAAAACGTACTCGAGAGGCTCAGGGTAAGTCAAGGTGAGTGCATTTCCAAAGGTGGCATTCCAGAACTGCGTGACCACAGTACGAATTTGCTTGCTCTTGTGCGGAAAAAGCACACAAAGCAAGGGCGACAACATGGCAAGCATCTCATCATCATGCAGAGTTGATTGCATCTGAAGGCAGCCAAGCAGGTCTGTGACCAGTTTCTCCAACTACGAGACAGATAGCAAATAAATAAATATGCCTACCTAACTCTACATATGTGACCCTGGACCACAAAATCAGTCATAAGGGTATATGATCAAAAATCATTAGGATATTAAGTAAAGATCATGTTCCATAAAGATATTTTGTAAATTTACTACCATAAATATCAAAACTTAACTTTTGATTAGTAATATGCATTGCTAAGGACTTAATTTGGACAACTTAAGGCGATTTTCTCAATTTAGATTTTTTTTGCACCCTCAGATTCCAGATTTTCAAATAGTTGTATCTCAGCCCAATATTGTCCTATCCTAACAAATATCATACATCAATGGAAAGCTTATTTATTCAGCTTTCAGCTATATTGAGACGTCATTGCCTTTTAAATTGAGATTTAAATCTCAATTTAAAAAAATGGACCCTTATGGCTAGATTTGTGGTCCAGTGTCACAAATAAAAATACTACACATCAGACCTGTGGTTTCGATTTCAAATTCACATGGTAATTCTTACCTTGGGTCCTAGTGTCGCACTGAGCTTTGATGGTTCATCATGACTTTCATAAAAGAAAAAAAAAAAACCAGTGTTAGACAATGAAAAAAAGAATGCTCAAAGTATGAAGGATAAGAAAATGTCACACACCTGGAGAACTGTTCAAAAAGGCACGTGAGTGGTTTGGTGAGGGTGGACAGCACCTCTTGAATGAACGTGGGTAGAGTGATATTAGTGAAAAGTGTTGACAAGATAGAGACCAGTGTCAAGCCAATTCCACTGAAAACTCCACTGGTGGACTCTACAGATGCTTCTGAGAGGTCCACAGACAGGAAAGCATCTAGAGTCTGCATCAGGAGAGTGTGAAAGGTCGAGAGATTCCCCAGAGCTTTGCTCCTCTTGCGTACCCAACTCAAAGGTGTATGAGGAGCTATGAATATGAACATGAAAAAAATTGTGACAGTGCCATTACACAACTTTGGCCACTTGAAACGGAAGCAAAAGCCTTACATTTCATCTTCTGCTGGAACTGTGGGGTGTAAGGAGAGAAGTCCATACTCTCAATGATGACCAGCAAGATATTTGCCATTGCATCCAACATCGGCAGATTCTAAAACGACAACAAAAAATATATTATATATATAAATGAATACTCCAATTCGGTGCACAACTGAATAAATCTTCCACTTTACTACATAGTTGGAAAGGCCATACTTTCAGAGCGTCGGTGTCAAGAGAGGCAGAGATCTTGGCACACAGCTCTTCACAGCATATGTTCTCCTCTGCTGTGGCTACCAAAGCTGAGCAGCGAGCAAACGCCTTGTAAAGCCTGGACCACGTACCGATCATGGCCTTCTGAGTGGTCTATTAAAAAAAGTCAATGTCATATGAAGCATTTGCATAATACTGCAGAAAGCATCTGTAATGTAGCCAAAATGATCTCTTACTTGGGGTAGGGGCGAACCAGGCAGCAGGTGAATGACTGGGAACATCAAGGCACTGCAAATGGCACTGAAGTTATGCTCCAGAGCATCTCCTTGATTCACTTCATTGGTCTGTGTTGGAACAATGATTTATCGCTTAGTGAAATACGAGGTTTGACTGGCACTGAAATGCACATTCATTCTACAGCACTGATGATCTGAGTTTAATACCTGAGTGATGGTGTCCGTCAGAGGGTTTACCACCGCGCTCCACATCCTCCAGAGCTGTTTCTTGTTCTTAACAGCCTCCACACGCCCACTAATCGCTCCTAAAACAGCCTCTCCAAATGCCAGTGGCGATGTAGGACCATAAAACCCACAGCTCACAAGGGTTTCCAGGCTTGAAAAAAACCTGCCAGATGCAAGAAAATGTTGCCCCAGTTAAGCAAACAAACTCAATGGAAACAGAAATAGGAGTAGTATCACTCTTTTAAAAGGTTTATTGCAAAAAATCTCTGGAACAATACTTATTTTGCAGGATTTATGCTTACCTCTCATCTTCAAGAAAGGATGAGAGCTGGTTACTCTTGTAGAACAGCAGTATTAGGAAAAGTGCAGGGGTACCCTGGAAAAGATGTAGAGAATCTCGAAATTTGTCGAGAAATTTAGCAAGGCTTTACAATAAGGGCTAAAAAGGCACTTACATTTAATACATCCATGTTTGCCACTTGATAAGCTGCGGAACCAAGCACCTTCTGAGGTATTCCCTTAACAGTGGCTTCCAACAAAAGCTGCAGCAAATAATGAAATAATGAAAATGTGTTCAAACAGCAGGGTTGTAGAACCTATAGAACCTTTTTAGATTAATACACTAAAAAAAACAAAAAAAAACAACCCCAGACATTTGAACTTTAAAGCTTTTAAAGTGTCATGGTCACCAAGGCTACATTTATGATTAAAAATACAGTAAAACAGTAATAGTAAAACCTTTCTCATTTAAAAACTAGGGATGCACCAAATGTTCAGCAACTGAAATTATTCGGCCGAAAATAGCAAAAAAAGCTCTTTTGGTGTTCAAATAAGCGAAAAGACCGAATAAATTGTACCGAACAATGATAAGACGCGATCAAATAGCAACCAGCGCAGAGTGAGAGGCGCACTCTTTTGTTGGTATAGTGTCTGCTAGAATGTTAAAAATGTTCAGTCTTAAATATTTTTAAATTGTTGTTTTGTAATTGATTTTTTTTTTCTTTGAAAAGCAAGACAAAACAGTAAAAAGCACATTTTGGCTTTTTAATTTATGCAATGGTGAAAAAAAAATGTTTGGCAAAATACTCCGTGTTCGGTATTCGGCCCAGTGTTTCATTTTGTTCGGTTTCGGCTTTGGCCAAGAATTTTCATTTCGGTGCATCCCTATTAAAAATATTTTAAAATGTAATTTATTCCTGTGATGGCAAAGCTGAATTTTCGGCATCCATTACCCCTGTCTGATTCTTCAATGATCCTTCAAAAATCATTCTAATATGCTGACTCTGACATTTATTCAGGATTTTTTTCTTTTTGATGAATAGAAAGTTCTTATCTTATTGAGTCCAAACTTTTGAAAGGTAGTACATTTTAAGCATGCCAGATTGCATCTTTGTTGGCTAACACTTTCAGCACCCAAGTCATTTAGCAGGTCATTTTCACCATGAAGTGCCATCTTACCAGGGCACATTCAGCAGGCAGATCATCTGAGGACAGGATGGACTGCAAAGCCTGTAGAAGCAGCGTGAGAACCTCTGACCCCTGTCTTTCCTTCTTATTACCTGTTGACAGGAAAACTTTCTAGATTACTATGAGCCAGTATCCACAACACAAAGTATCTGTGCAAATTATCTTTGACTTTCTAAGAGAGAGCAAATGTTAATATACCAGCTTCTATTGTTGTGCTGACAGAACGGATCAGGTTGCTCCAAATGAGACTAAGCAGCGCTTCTGTGGAAAATAAACACTCATATCAGGTGATGAACATGGACAGCATCAGCATTTCTTTCATTTCCTAATGATCATAATAATAATAATAATAATAATAATAATAATAATAATAATAGACCTTTGCTTCCAAGCAGGCCAATAAGAGAAACAGCTAAGACAAAATTTAAGTTGGCCTCTTAAATCCAGGCTACATTGTGCAGATTATGTTGAATACCTGGAGCATGTTTTCCCACAGTAATGAAGCCTTCTTTGATGGCTGATATGAGGGTGGAGGCATGTCTACTGAAGGAGGAAGGGCTGATAAAGAGCGGGTGCGTCAGGGGCTCTGGAAACAAATGGTACACTGACACTGTTAGCATATAATTACAATAATAAGGTTCAATATATCAAGCTGTATCAACAGGGTCCATATACATTTTAACCAATACATTTCCATGACTTGAGACAAATATCTATGATCTAGCTTCGTGGTTAAATTAAAAAGATCTGATCAAATGTGAGCAGATCAAATGTTTAACAAATATCATTTATCATATCAAAAATATTCTATTTAAATTTCCATGACTTTTTCAAAACTTTCTTAGTTTCACTTTTCCATGACTGGGAATTACCAGACTTTTCCAGATTTTTCATAAGAGTACAAACCCTAGGGATGCTCATTACGGTTAATTTTCCTGACCGACAACCGCTGCTTGTTATCTGAACATTAACCGTTAACTGACAAATTTAGAATAATAAATTAGTATTCAATAAAAACAGAATAGACAAGCATCTGTGATGACGAATTAAAAATACCAACAAATATTTTATTTTAATGTGCAAACAGCAGCATGCAGAGCAACAGCAAAACCTGGATTCACACATCCTCAAATTATCATGCACCAGCAGCGCTTCTGAGAACAGAGAAAAACAGAATAAAATAATATAAATTAAAAAAGAATAAAATAAATAGGCCTACACTAAATCTACATCAAATAAATAAATTAAGATGACAAAACTAAAACACACACTGAATCCTTCTATATGCTTTGAAGAACGCAGTCATCTTCCCATCAGACAAAAAAATATATAGCAGGCCTACCTCAGTCAGCGTACGTGTCTATTTTTTATTTATTTTTTAAAGTAACATGTCGACATGCTGTATAGTTAGCTGCCTGCTAACTGTTAGACCCGTGGCAAAAAAACCATCACAAAAATCCCGTCAATTTGCGGTTTGGGACTTTTCTTCCACTGGTAATACATTTCTATTCACGTCGTGTTTGCAGCAGCGTTGAGCTCTACACGTTCGCGAATTCTCTCATTAAAACAAAAAGTGTAGACATGATGTAAATAAGAGATTAATTGTGCAGTGTAATGCTCCTTTGATTATTTTTAATTAACTTCACGATGATCTACAGTAAGATGAGTGATTATGAGGGGAGTGCCCATTGCGCAATAGGCTATAATCCATTCAGAATTTACATACATTCACTAACGGATTCCCTCTCTGATAACCATTTATCCAATATTGCCACTTGCCATTGTGTTACATATACATCAGTTAACTAAGTGAAGGTGAAGCAGGTCCTTGCTCAGCGAAATATGCCTGTATGCACGCTGCACGTGAGTAAACAAATACTGTATGTATATCATTATTTTTTCTTACCATGCAGCAAACGTAATATTTGCGGGGGAAAAAGCACCAAAAAAAAAACTTTTAAACTGTTTAACTGATAGTATTAATCGGTTAAAATTCTTACTTTCGGTTAACGGTTAAACGGTCAATATGAGCATCCCTACTGTATTAACAGATGAACATCTATAGATTACTAATCAAATGACACTCACATTAACTTTGTACAGACTCAAGTTGGACCCACTTTAACTTTAAAAAAAAAAACAACAACATTAAAAGCTCTTGACAATACTATATTTATGATTACCCAGACTGAGCTGAAGATTTTCTCTAGCTGCTGTGACTGTAACCTCCGGACCCACAAGCCAGTGCAGGAGCATCTCTAGACCCAGGAGCTGAATGGAGCGGTAGGACTGAGCCGCCTGCATACTGCTGTTCAGATTCATGCGAGGAGTAGTGCTTGGTGTGCTGCAGGAGGGAATGCCTGGAGAACAGAAAGATGAAGCATTAAGTTTTAAAAATAAAAAAATATGTAGGGTGGGGTTTTGATTCTATCCATCAGCTGTTGACTGGATGGAGGCAGATCTGAGCTTGCAGTTGATTGTGGAGAGGAAGGATTTAAGCTGACTAAATGATTGAAGAAGTCCAGTAAACATCACTAGAGAGAAGGCTGTCAGTGCGGAAGATTGACTTTGATAAATTATGAGGTCGGGGTAAAAAATTAAACATATGCATGGACAAATTGAAAAGTAAGATTTATAAACATGAACTTAGAAAATATATGGGGTGAATTGCCACTTCATGCTGAATTTAAAGGATGTAATCTCATTGTATCCCCTTTATAAAATGAAAGCACAATGAGAGGAAGTGAGCTGTACCTGATTTAGGGGTGTTAGGGGTGCCATTGCTTGGGTTAGAGGTTCGAGCAGGTGTAGTCGGGCTCGGCAGTGGAGAATCAGAAGGAAGTGTGTTGTGCAGTAGTGGTACACCAACCTTTAAGAGAGAGTGATGGAAAGAAGGGATAGAGATAAACATTGCTCTCAGTAACTAGTAAGACCATGGCCATACAACGGTTACAACTATCTGAAAAAAGCAAAGCCAAAAAGCATAATTCATCAATGTAAACACTGTGAAATTTACCTGCTCAAAGTTAGCGGACAAGTTGGGGCCAAGCTTAACTGCAAGGTACCACCACACCTCCAGCTTAGTGAGCAGAAGAGCTTCAGTCCTGACTTGGATGGAACTAAGGGGCTGCATGAGGAGCTTTAGACGCTTGCTGCTGCACAGGATATCTGCTCAAGAGAAACCATTACAACTTAGAAAACAACAGCTGAGAAAAAGCAAAGAGGTAAAAAAAAAAAAAAGCTATTGCTATATGGGTCCAAAATGTTCCCACATCTTTTGACCAATGAATTTCCCATCTCATCTGAGGTTACTGAATAAGCATTTTTAAACATTCACTCCAAAAGGCAATTGTATCCATACCTAGAGAAACATAAAAACAACTTTATTTTAATGACTTTCCACAAAGCAAACCATGTAATTCTCTGATGTTCCTATGTTTTCAGTGACTGTGGCCATTACACCTAAATACAAAGGAAAAAAAATAAACTTGCCTGGATTAAGGGCGAAATTATCAATGAGGCTCTTCCAAGCTATGAAGGCAATCTTCTTAATATTAGGAGAAGAGTTGCGGAAACCCAACTCCTCTAAATACAGCAAGGAATTAATGAATGCACCGCCTTTGTGGAGCAACTGAAAGGAGATGCATACAATAGAAACCCATACTTGTCCAAAATGACAATCTCAAGATTCAGAACTGAAATAGTGATGAGCATTATTTGGTGACCAAATATCTTACCTTCCCCAGAAGTCTCACAAACAAGGGCCAGAGCTTCAGCATATTCGTCTCATTTTTAGATGCAAACAGCTTCTGCATTTCAGGGATAAGCATCTAAAGGCAGCAAAGCAATAGAAGCATTACGGTTATTTATATTTATATTATAATTAATTAGTTACATTTATATAGGGCTTTTCTGGATACTCAAAGTGCTTTTACATGAAAGCGGGGGAATCTCCTCAACCACCACCAGTGTGCAGCATCCACCTGGATGATGCGATGGCAGCCATATTGCGCCAGAACGCCCACCACAAACCAGCTTATTGGTGGAGAGGAGACAGATTGATGAAGCCAATCAGTGTATGGGGATGATTAGGAGGCCATGATGGTCAGAGGCCAATGGGCAAATTTGTCCAGGATGCCGGGGTTATACCCCTACTCTTTTTCGAAGGACATCCTGGGATTTTTAATGACCACAGAGAGTCAGGACCTCGGTTTAACGTCTCATCCGAACGACGGTGCTTTTTACAGTATAGTGTCCCCATCACTATACTGGGGCGTTAGGACCCACACAGACTGCAGGGTGAGCACCCCATGCTGGCCTCACTAACACCTCTTCCATATATGCACAACAAAATAAACTAACGTATACACTTACAGAAGACATCATTGGCTCTACAATGGTTGCCACCTCCTGCTGTTTCTCCAGAAGAAGAGGCATGCCCAGCTCCAGGGCTGCTGCGGCACGCAAGCGCACTCTATTGGCCGAGTGAACCACCAGAGGAATAACCAGCTTGGCCCAGCACACGGCTCCAGCAGCCATCTGAGACGGGGCCTGCTCCAGCAACCTGACATTCACCAAAAAAAAAATCCTTTTAAATAAACCTTATTTACGGAGCACCTCCATATGAAGGACTGCACTACCAAGAAAGAGAAAAGTATGGGAAATTTCAACAAACCTTATTATGACATTGAGTGATTCATGTTCAATGAGGATCGACTGAACCTCTCTGGTCTGCATGGCCTCTAGACTCTTCAGAATCTCTGGGGTCTGAAATGTAAAAAGCAAAATTTTTAACCACCAAAAATAAAAAATAAATAAAAAAAAAAACAGGAAAATGGGAGGGGTAAAGGATGATAAAAATAGGGTTTATTTCAAGCACAACATGCATGGTAAACAAACCTTTTTGGATGCCACCTCTGGTGGGAAATTCTGTTTTGAAATCACCCATAACGCTCGAGTGCACGTAAACTTCTCTTTTGATTTTACCACAACATTACAGAGCGTAGACAGTATATCTTCTGAAATATTTGCTGCAGCAAAAAAAGATAAAAAGATTATGGATGCTACTTCTCATGGAAAGTAATAAGTATATTATACTAAAGAATTCAACTTTTTCCTCTACCTGGTAAGACTGAAACAATGTGTGAGTGGAAGACACAGAATCCCAAAGCTTGCAATGCGGCTTGACACAGCTCTTCGTTCTCACTGGAGATATGAACCTGAAAGAAAAAAATATTCATCTGCAGGGCTGATGACACAGCAGAGACATAGCTTTCTGAAAGAATATATTTTGCCTATTCATAATAATTAAAACATTTATAATATATA